ATGGTTAAATTTAAGTGTTTTTTCAGTGTACATCTACTTATATCATCGTATAAGTGTAATATGGTTGTGATAGAGGCATTTAAAGATCACAAAATTGCTTGATCTTAACGAGTCGAGTATAAAGCACAACCTCACGCGCTTCGCGCTATGAGGCGTGCAATAACAACGTTTCGTTGGATACTTTGCAACTAGCCTGTATATGAGTTAACTTAGTCATTTAAAAAAATATATACTTTTAATTTTATTCTTTGATGGCCAACTTCATTCTGTTAATTTTGTGTCACGGTGCGCGCGCATCGTAAAATTTCACTCTCATCAATTTTTCATAACGCGCCTAAAGAAGTATAACTTCAAAAACTTGATTATAGGATCCAGTGCCAGCAGATTCGTGGTCAGGTGTGAGAGATGCCAATAAATCGGGTGACGTATGCGCTCAAAAAGACTCCTATTCACATCAAGTAATAGGGAGCGATGATTGTCTTTATTTGAATATTTATACAAACAAGTTGAATTGTGACATTCCTAGAGCTGTACTTTTCTGGATTCACGGTGGTGGATTCGCTTATGGACACGGAAATGACTACAAGCTCGGTCCCGACTATCTTGTTAAAAAAGATGTCATTTTAGTTACTTTCAATTATCGTCTTAATATTTTTGGTAAGTTTTTGTATAAATTAGTATGAAATATCAAATTTTCCTAATAATTTATTATTTTTTAGGTTTTCTTAACTTGGATGATGAAGAATCGCCAGGTAATCAAGGATTGAAAGATCAGGTGATGGCTTTGAAATGGGTAAAGCAGAACATTGCAAACTTTGGTGGTGACCCAAATTTGGTTACAATTTTTGGAGAAAGTGCGGGAAGTTCTTCTGTTCATTATCTGACTCTTACGCCATTAGCTAAAGGTATGAATAAGAAGATATTTTTGTAGATTACCGTTTAATTTTAGAGAGAAACAAATTTGTTATAAAGTTGCTTTAAAAGAATGAATTTTAATATAATAATACTTATTTCTGATAGGATTATTTCAGCGAGCTATCATGCAAAGTGGAGTCGCGACGAATCCATGGGCATATACATCCCTGTCTATGAAAGAAGAAGCTGAAAAAATAGCTGATAATAAATTAGGAAAAAAGACTAGTGATACTAAAGAGCTTATTGAATTTTTACAAACTATCGAAGCTCATGATTTGATTGACGCAGTACAGTCATTTGTTAATCAAACAGTAAGACATTATGCAATCAAACAATAACAATAAAAACATAAATTTATAATTATAAATCAAAATAAGGTAATTATTTACAAACGGGGTAAATCCTATTTTTGGCCATAACTAGGTGAAAAATTAACATTTTCAAATTTTTTTTTAATTCTGCTTGTTTTTACGGCGCATTTATGATAAAAATGTCATGAAAGGCAAAAATAAAGATTTCGTTAGCTTTTTTGCCTTTAAAAGTTGGAAAAAATTTTGACTCATGTTTTTGAATATAATTTCTATATATATTTTTAGGTAGATTTCATAGAAATCAATCTTTTGCATTGGTCCTCATGTCAGAATTTACTCGGAATTTTGTTGTAATATCACTTAACTAGTCGAGTAAAGCTCAAAAATAACGTTAGTTAAAAAAATTATATATATATATATATGTGTAATATAACGCGGGATGTTGCCGCGATTGTGTCTACAGTTCTTGACGGATCTAGATGAAATTTGTTACACATATTCTTTGGATAATAACCTTGAATGAGTTCGAAGATGAGCGAAATCTATCGATAAGGTTAGAAATGGCAGCTCTTCAAAATTATCAAAATAGTGAAAATCACGTTTTTGGTGACTTCATTAATGTATAACTTTTGGTTGAAAAGAGATGGCTAATTTTTGATGAATGTAAAAGCTCATGAAATTGCCTTTAATTTGACATATATAACATTGACATTTTGACCATTTTTAATTATTTTATCAAGGTTAAGAGTTTGACTGAACCATTTTCAGGCAAGGTGTAGTGCAGGCTACTTATGAATGTTATTCTGTCGAGAATTCATAACAGATCCCAATGAAATTTAGTATACAAATTCATTTGACAATTAGCTTGCATGAGCCTTAAAATCAGCGAAATACTTCGATTAGTTCAGAAATAGTAGTCTCTAAACTTGAAATAGTAAAATTTTC